ATGTGAGCATCTGACTCTTGCGCTACATGATGAAACACGCTGATATCAATCTATTTTTTTATTATAGCCAGCGTCTTTCTACCTAGCTTCTTCTAGCTTTCATCTTTCATATCTGCTGGTTTAGTCGAATCACCCAATACTGGCTCATACAAATCTTTGCAGTATAGATGATCCTCCATCATAGGCTTCCAAATTAAATAATTCGATGCTGTCAATTTTATCATGAAACCTGTATCACCCTCCATGATCTAAAACAGAATTTATTTCTATCTTGGGTTGCTTCTATATCGATATCTCAAAATAACTCTCGCTCTGATACCTCTTGTTACGCCTGAAGCAATAATCACAACAATACAGAAGCAATAGACAACAATCAATAATCAAATAAGCAAGAAAAATAAAGCACACCAAGATTTACGTGAAAAACCCTCCAGTGTAGAGGGAAAAAACCACGGCCTACCAGAAAAATCTTCACTATCAAATAATAGTTATACAAAGTTCTTCTCTAGCTAAAACTATAGCTAATCAACAACTAGAGAAACAATTGAAAAAATCTCATCAAATAAGTGACTCAACAAATACACCCTGAATTTGTTCTTAGAGAGCTTCAAACCCGATCTTCACCGTTCAAAATGTAGAACTCTGAATCATAAACCTCCTGACAAGGTTCTAACTCAATCAGACCACGGATCGACTTCTGTTCAACCAACTCTCCCTTTTCTTTTTTCTCTCTCTGTTTTTCCTGGCTTTTCTTCTTTCTCTGCTTGGTTTTTGACACACACCTAAAACAACCCCACCTCTTTTTTTATTAAGTAGTTAGGGCTCTGTGTAAAATAAAAAGATTAAGGCCCATGGCCTTTACTTGGTCCAAAATCATTTACATGAGACTGGACCCCATTTTTCTAACAGTATCATTGTGCCATGCTTGCACAAATTATGGCGAAACTGACTGTGCCTCTTCAGTTTCCTTAATCACTAAGAGCATCTCCATCTGTCACCCACATCTTGTCATCTTAATATCATCAAAACCATTAGAGAAATAATGCACAATAGTAAAGAATGGATGTTGAATTACATTCCAAGACAAGAATTTTGCAATGGATTAGTTGGCAAAGAACTGCAGTGAACATGATAGAGGAGTACAAATTTATTAAGTCCACCTACAGATGTTATATTTGTAGGGGTTATGTTAGGAATATTTTTGGGTTTAATGGGTAAAATGATTTGTTTTCTCGTCAAAGCCTGTCAACAGACAATCAACTTGACATATACAATGTCACGTTAGTGTTGTAATAATTTTTGGATCGTCAAACGTAAAAAAATTTTAAAATCGAGAGAAAAAAATAAAGTCATTACCAATCTTTTTAAGATGTGATTGATCATCAAAAAATTTATTTTTTTAATAAAACTATAAAAACGAATTTAAAATTTATTGAAAAAATAAAATTTAATCTACGAAAATCAAATTAGGTCTGGAGTTATGCGTAAAGAAATATTAGCACCCCACAATACCCATAAATCAGTATCATTTAATAATGCGCTATTTTTTGTATTGGATGAAATATTTTTAATTTAAAATTTAATAATAACCCCTTTTGTAAAAAAAAATAAAATTTTGTTAAAACTCTTTATTTAAGAATATTGAGAAAATCTTTGAGTTAAAGAATTATCTTAAAATTCTTCAACATTTAGGTAAAATTTAAAATAATTTTTACCGCTTAAGATTTAACACAACAATTCTTAAAATGAAATAACACTTTTTATAGAAGATAGTTGTTGGTGACTCTCCAACTTCTAAATAAGTACCAAGAATTATTTCATTCAGAATATTATTTTTTGTTTTATTTTAAAACATTACAAATTGTACAAAAAAAATGTATCGTCTTTTTTTTTTATTAATAAATGTTTTATCATCGAGTAGTAAACAAAAGTTAAAGACAAAAAGAATGTAAACGATTGTCAGTGATAACATAGTAATGTATGTGTGCTAATGAATATTATGTAAGATGAAATGCAATTTTAAAAATTGGACTATTAAGTATAATGAGATTATCTCGACTTTTAATATCTAAACAGATTTTAGGTGTGACTATTTATATTTAAGATCTCATTTTATTACTATATTTTTATTATTAGTTAGTTATTAACCTTATCATTGAAATGAATTAATGAGTCGTATGAAAAATTTAATGGAATAAAATTTCTTAAATACCTAATCATCTAGGCCATATTTGGGAATAAATTATTTCACTTGAGATTTTCACACATATCTTTAGAGCTTCGAAATAATTTAGAGTATAGGTTTAAGTTGAGATTTTAAGATTATTATTATTATTATTATTATTATTTTATTATTATTTTTAAACACGAACATCTACAAAAATTTTTAACATCTAGGGGGACTTTTGAGTAAGTTCGATTTTTTATGACTTTCAAAAAATAATTAAATGAAATCTTTTTTTATGAAAATTTATTATTACTAATATTATTAACTTATTTAGTGTTTTTTTTATAATAATAATTTTCCAACATCTAGACAAAATTATTATCTTTTAAAACATGATTTAATTCCCCTTAATATCTAGGTAGAAAAAAAAAAAAATTTAATAATCATTTTATATATATCAAAAATTTGAAATCATTGGTTTTACTATTTTTGTCATTATGAATTATTATTATAAAATAACAAATATTTATTCTAATAAATTTAGAGGTATTAAACATGCATATATAACAATAATAAAACTAAAATAATGTATAAAAATAAAAAAATTACAAAAAAAAAAGTTGAATCGGACCGGTTAATTGTCCGGTCAACGCAGTTCAGCTAGTTCTTGTGGTAAAACAATGATATTCGGTTGAATCGGATGAAGGGCGGTTAAGTCAACAGTTCGGTTCAGTCGGTCAATAGTTCAATCCGATCCAAATTGAGCTAGTTTAGGGCTGTTAAAGAAGGTGGATCAACGGATCGGTTGTGCGGATCCCAAGTTGAGTCACGAGCACACGCGGATCCTCCATTTTCTAAACGGCGTCGTTTCGTTTCTTTGTTTTTTATATAAAAGCCACATTTTTTTTAGATTATTTTTCCTTCTCTTAAAAAAAATTATTTTCAGCCTTCGAAAAAATCCTTTAACCTTGATCGAAATCCGATGCCGTGTAGCCACGTCGACCGTCGTTGGCGGTGATCGCCAGTGACTGAAAAATGAAAAAAAAATTTCCTGAAGCTCTCTTCGACCTCTTCTTTTTAAATTCGACATCTTTTTTGCCGAAAATAGTCTCGATATAGACAAATCTGGCTTTGAAGGTTCTATTCTCCTTTTTTTGTTTATTTTTTTGTTTATTATTATTTTTTCAAAAACTCAAATTGACAGTCTCCTTTCTTTGTTACAGGAAAACTTTGGCACAAAGGTTCCTCTTTATGGGAAGGACTGTTTGGTTTTAATTTTTGTTTTTGTTTTTCTGTTTGGGTGTTTAGGGACTATTTGCGGTCTTCTGGTGGTGGTGAGTTTGGTGGGAGTGTGAGAAAGCTTTTGGGTTTTTAGGTGTTTGAGTTTTTGGTGTTTCTGTGTCTGAGAGTTCCAAAAAAGCTAAAATAAGGGAGATCAGGTGCTTTGTAAGGTTGAGAATGGTGGTAGCAGGTTGAGCATATGTCTGGCAAGGTATGGGTGGTAGTTCTAGGCAGTTAGAGCCTATAAGGTGTAGGGATCCTAATAGGACTAGAAGTGGTGATAGTAGTAGGGTGGGTGGCCAGTGGTGCCATGCAAGGCACTATTGCTATCCTGATTTCTCTTTTTTTTTTTAAATAATTTTTTTTATTTTTTATTTTAATTGGACTAATATTATTATTATTAATATTAAGATTATTATTATTAATACTAATCAAGAATTAAAAATGATAGATCTGAATAAAATTCGATGTCTACAATCAGCTTGATCGTCAATCTCAAACTTGCTATTTTGCCCTTTGGACCAAATCAACTGAAACATGGAGGAAAACACTCTTTGCTTTTGTCCCTTTATTTTCTTTATTTTGTGATTTCAAAGTTTTACCCCTTAATCCAAAGCTTAGCTCAAACATTTGACATTCTAGTTATGGGGTATACATTCTATAACTTATTTCTAATTTGAGTGTGAGAATACAAATATAAAGAATACTCTCTACCTTTACCTTTAACCATTATCTTTCGCTCTTTTATGATTTTAGAGTTTAATCCTTTAATCTAAAACTCCGCTCAAACAAGTTACCTTCCTCAAAAACATCGATATGCATTTTATTATGATGTGTCATTTATTGGTGACAAGGATTACACAGGGATAAATTTATCTTATTTTGAAAATTAAGTTTAAAACTAACTTATTTTGAGAAATAAGATTAAAGAGTACCTTCCGTTGGGAGAAAACGCAAGGATTGCCTTTCCCCTAGCAACAACATGGATTTGCAATAGCAATTAGAGGAGATGTTTTGTGTATGGTAAGGCCAAAGCTTTCATTCATGTCCAAGTCATTCTGTCACGGACTTAAGGAAGAGTCCTGAATCCCACATCGAACATAATAGGAGTGTCACTGGGGTATATAAAGTTCACACCACCTCCACCTTGTGAAACACCTTTTGTAGGATAAAATCGTGAGGTAAGGGGGGCCAGAGCGGACAATACCTCACAAGGATGTGAACTGTGGCAGGAAGGCTGATCTGGGACACCGGATGAATGCATGCCCGGGTCCCGAAGCCGCGCGGGTTCGAAGTTTAAGTCTCGACCCGTGACAAGTGGTATCAGAGCCAGCCCTAAACCGTTCGATCCACGCCAAGCACCTCGAGGGAGGTAGGCAGGATGGACAGCCTCCGTGACGAGGGCGTCATGAGGTTGGGTGCGGGAGAATGTCACGGACTTAAGGAAGAGTCCTAAATCCCACATCGAACATAATAGGAGGGTCATTGGGGTATATAAGGGTTCACACCACCTCTGCCTTGTGAGGCGTCTTTTGTAGGATAAAACCGTGAGGCTAGGGGGGTCAGAGTGGACAATACCTCACAAGGGTGTGAACCGTGGCAGGAAGGTTGATCTGGGACGCCGGATGAGTGCATGCCCGGGTCTTGGAGCCGCACGGATTCGGAGCTTAAGTCTCGACCCGTGACAGTTCTGCTGTGCTCCACCAGGCAATGACCAATCAAACTTGTGCACAAGATTTGCCAATAAGAGCTCATTTATTTTCATTGCAAACAGGATGCCTGGACAAATCCTCCTTCCAGAACCAAATGGAATCAATTCGAAATGATGTCCTTTGAAATCTATGGAATTGTTCAAGAACCTCTCTGGAAGAAATTCTTCTGGTTTCTCCCACGACATGGGGTCTCTTCCGATTGCCCAAGCATTGATAATAACTTGACTTCCTCGTTCAATGTCATAGATCCTGACATCTTCTGTTGATATTCTTGGAACTGGCAATGGAATCGGAGGATGTAAACGAAGAGTCTCTTTGATCACAGCTTTTAAATAGTGCATGTTATCCAGATCATCCTCCGAAATTTCCGATTTTTCACAGGCAACTTTCCTGACCTCTTTTTGCAGTTGTTTCATTATCTCTGGGTGCCTCAACAGTTCTGTCATTGCCCACTCCAGGACTGTATACGTAGTGTCAGTTCCAGCTGCAAACGTATCCTATCATGGAAAGAAGATTTGTCAAGTTCGAATGTGAAGCTAAAATTAAGGAACTATAATAACAATAAAGTATATAAAAAAAAAAAAACTACTTGGTGCCCGCAGATAAACTAGTTTTATCACATCCAATGCTAGAGTAAAGATCATGGATGACCCAGAATTCAGTTCAGTTTGTTCATGCAGTAACGTGCCATCCAGCAAGTCGGGGTTCAAAGCACCAGCAACCCCTTTTCTTGTTGGAAATGTTAAACACAGTTGGAAAAGGGTTTGGAAAGGGAATTTAGTGTTCTTACCAAGATAAGAGCCTTAATGCTCACTTCCTCTATGGGAAAGCCAACCGTGTTTTCCCTCTAAATCTCCAGCAAAACATCAACGAAATCTTTTTCATCTTCATCTTGAATCCCAATATCATCATTTCCTTTCCCGTTATGCCGATTCATATGCTCTTCAAGCACTCCACTTAAAAAAGCATCGAACTCCTTGGCCACTTTCTCTACTTTACTATTCAATCCAGTAACATGGTTTATCCAAGCAAGCCAGGGAATATAGTCCCCAACATTTATGCCACCCAACAACTCCACGAACTCGCTCAAAAGCTTCTTAAACTTGTTCCCATCTTCCCCTTCACTGTAATTTCTTCCTAAAGCGACTCTGCAGACAACACTGTTTGTGACCGTAGAAAAGAGTTCAATTAAATTCACAGGCAAAGCAGATGTGCTAGACTTTTTAATCTTCTCAACAGCAAGAACCGTTTCTTCTTCTCTTGCAGCGCCGAAGGACCGAACCTTTTTGTTACTTAGAAGATGTAGCACGCATACGCTTTTCATTTGCCTCCAGTAATCACCATAAGGTGCCATTGACACGTCTTTGTAATCATAGAGAAGCGTTTGAAAGGTACTTGATTTGGGTCTGTTTGCGAATGTCAGATCATTGGTTTTCATGATCTCACGGGCAGCATCAGCGGAGGAGACAACAAGCACAGGCGCACTCCCAAAGCGGAGCAACATGAGAGGGCCAAATTGTTGAGCGAAGGCCCGGAGTGAGCGATGAGGGTACAACCCGATTTTGTGAAGGTTTCCAATGATTGGGAGTTTTGGCGGAGAAGGTAGTAACATTAGCTTTCTTTTCTTATTCGAACGACTAAAAAATCGTTCAACTAAGACTATGAAGAAGATGGCTATCACAGAGAAGAACAAGACATCTGACATGACAAAGAATTCATGGTGCTCTAAAAATTGCAGAAAACTCGACATAACGATCTACCTTCTTGGTTTCAGTTCAACTTATTCCAGGAACTTGGCAGTTCTGCAGCAGTACATATAGTGCCTGAAATTATCTGTATGAAAGGAGAAAAAAGGTCAGCAGCCGCCATTTTTTTAATCGGTGCCGTAGTGCAAATGGTTGAAAAACATAGCAAATGGACGACTTTTGCTGTCGTGAAGCTTTTGGCTTTGATTACATGTGAAGCCTGATTCCATGCTGAGGTATCAGATCACTAACGCAAAAAGAAACTTATTGGTCTCGTTTTTTTTTTTGAAAAACAGATGTTACCACAAACATCGATCCATTGTCAAAAATATTACGTGCTGAACAAGAATTCTCTTACCACAAAGGTTTTGTAATTGGGATTATGTGACAACCACAAGAAAAATAGCCGGGCATTCTCCTTTGCCCAAGTTGAAGATCTTGACTTACAAACTAGCTTTCAGATCCGCAATGTTTTCAATCAAATTCATGCCAACATTTCTGTCCCTCTAAAATTATTTGTTCTTTTCCAGGGCTGACAACCAATGCGTAAATGGCTAGTGACTACTTCAGACTGATACTTGGACAAGAAAACATAAGGCGGCAAGTCCAGCACTAGCAGAAAGTAGGAATCGCAACAGCTGTGACCAGTACATTGAGTCATGTCCAAATCCTCACCTGTTGCTCCACCAGGCAATCTAGATCTAAACTTACATATTTTTCTGTCTACATATCATAACACGTGTTCTTTTTTAGAACAATAAAGAAATTACTTAATTTGTTGTAACTATTTATGACATGTCATTGTCAATTGTCATATAATTTTATCTATAAATAGACTTTCGTCCACCATCTTTTTCTCTTTGGGTACATAGAATTATTTAATTTATTAAAAGTATTTTACAGATTTTTGTTTTTTTGGATAAGGGTTAAAATTTAAAAAAAAATTAAAAATTTTAATAAAAAGACAAATGAAGGCTTTAGAGAAAGGAGATGTCACTTTTTCGTGGCCAAAGGCCAAAGAAGGTTTTAAACTTTTTTTTTTTGGCCAAGTGAATTTTTATTGTGTCAATAAAAACAAAAACTTTATATTGAAAAGAGAAGAAAAGAAAAGGATAGACATAAACGAGAATCAATAAAGTAATAAAAGAGAGAAATTGAAGAAATATGATAAGTTAGAATGCAAGAAAAGAACCAAATCTGAAGGAATATGTTAGCAAAAAAAGGTAAGGAAGTTTTTTTTTTTAATAAATTTGATTTTTCAAAAAACTCTTTTTTTTTTTTTTATTTTGATTGTAAATGTTGTGGTGTATAGGTGTATGGACTGTTTAAGGACTGCTTTATTCTTCGTATGCTTTATGTTGAATTATTTATTTTATTTTAATTTTTTTTTTAAATTTGAAAAATCTTTTTTCTTAGATAAAAATGAGAAACCGTTATTTTGTGATTGCTTTTTATAAAGTTGATAAGTTGATTTAAGCAGAAATTTGTATGATTCATGTTGACATTTGTATATGTAGGTTGAGAAGATGGGAGATGCCCTCTAACCCTCACCAAGCCTAGATCGATGTTAAGCGTCGTCTTCGTTAGGGATCGAAGGTAATGAAGTGAAAAATAAGAAGAAAAAAAAAAGAATTTTGCGTAGTTCGATTTATAACGTTATTTGCCTTAAATTTTTCTTGATTGGCTTGATTTTTTATTTTGAGTTTTTTATCATAATTTTGATTTTTTTAATATTCTTAAAATATTATTATTTTTTAGATAAATAAAAACATTTTAACATCTTTTAGAGGTTTCTATATTATTCTTGAATTCTTCTTATTCTTATCTAGTCAGCATCATGTGACATTACTTGACTGGATATTAAGGATTTTATTTAATAAGATTGAGCTAAAAAAAAAAAAAAGAGAGAGAGAGAGAGATGAGTTTTGTCAATAGACAGATAAGATGATTCTTTTTCAGGTCTTTTTTTTGTCTTTTTTTTTTTATTTCATTTACTTTTAGAAAATTCTTTTCTACTATGCTTTGATTTTAGTTTCCTTAGATTTTTATTAGATGCTAAAATTATTTTTTAAAAATATTTTTGTTTAAATGACTTTTAATTTTATTATGTTGTGTTTTCTATGATTGCATTGGTGATTTTTAATATAATACTGCAGGTATGTTTAACCTCTTTGCTTTTTCTATTTACAATTTTTTATTTGTTTAAAATTTTAGGCTTTCTGTTTTATTTTTATTTTGATTATATTCTTCTTTTTATGGATATCTCATATTTTTTTTGTAAGTTTAGAAATTATTTTTTTTTCTCATCATTATTTGTTTAAAATTATTCCATTGTTCTTTTGCATTTGCATTAAAAAAATTGTATTGAAACAGTAAAAGTGGCTCAACATATAAGTTGTTCTACTTAAGGATGAAAATTAAATTAGGTCAAATTATTATATCAATGCTTTTCAATTCTTTTTTATTGATGTTTTCTATTGTTGTTTAAATTTTAAACTATCCTCCTTGCCTGAAATCCTTTTGATGACACTGGTGGCACTTTTGCCTTTTCTCATGTTTACTTAGGTTAATTAAGTAGTTCTATGTAGGCAATGGATAGTTATCATATCCAATGCATCATAGGATTAGTATGCCATTAACATTGCATTTTATACTCTCCTAACTTACATGATTGCTCATGTTTGGGCTATGTTATGATTGAGATCAATACTATATTTATAATTATTATTTTTTACCACTTAAGGGTTAAAATATTTTCATTGGTACCACATCTATTAGTTAATTATAGTGGGCTATTTTTGCATGTTGCTTCATCCTCTTATTCAATGTAATTTAAATATTAAAGGTCATTCCCTTTATTAATATATTTATTTTCTTCCTATATTTGCCTTTCGAGATTTGTTGTTTTTTTCTTGCTCCAACTATTATTTTTCTTTTAATTTAATTTAATTTAATTTAATTTTACAGCATTCTTTTAATTGTGTAGCTTTAACATTAAACTATCTCTCTTTTAGTTGTTTTTCTCTATATGCATACTTTTTTTTTTTAATTCTTTTTGCACTATATTCTTCTTCTCCAATGTTTAGTTTTTGATGAATTTTATTGTAGTTTGTGCATATGCTGGTTTTCATTTGTTCTCCTTTAAGACATCTCTATTTCGGTATTGGTGGGTTTATCACATACTTTTTAAAAAATTTTTAAATTACGAAGATTCATATTTAATTTGAGAAATATTGTGTATTTTAATATAAAAATTTTACGATTTTATTTCATAAAAAGTGTATAACAAATTTGAGTTCATACTTTTACATATATATCACAAATTTAGGTTTGACCCATAGTTTATATGAGATCTTTGAATTTCTTAATTTTTGTCTACCATCCTCGAGACAAAAATGCATAAAACCTAAAAAGAGTAATCCAAACAGTAGTAAAACAAAATAACTATAACGTTAAGTTGGTCTAATTAAGAAGTATAATAACCTGTAATTATAATAAACATTGACGGAAAGATATAAGAGTTGATAGTGAATTTGTAACTTTAAAAGTCTCCATAGATGTTATATTGTTTACACATAAGAAAATTGATGTAAATACAATACAAAGATTCAATCATTCTCGTCGAGTTAAACCTTCACTTGCATTACTCGCAGCGAAGCGTGAGGATGGAATCTAATGACCAATCAAACTTGTAAACAAGATTTGCCAGGATAATCTCAATCATAACCCTGCCAAACGAGGGAGGGAGGGAGTTCATAATTTGATTTTAATTAAATTAATTGGTTGATTTAATTTAAGTCAATTAATCAATTGATTATTAAATTAATTTTAATTAATTAACTGAAATAATTTTATAAAATGTAAATTTTTTATTAAGTAGGTTAAAAAAATTTTAATCAAAATGCATTATAATTCAAATATAAAGTAAAAAAATATGTGAAATGGGTTATTTTATCATTTTATTTTATAAGTTGATAAAATTCTAAACAATTTATTTTTATATTTAAATATTTTATTAGATAATTTTATTTAGTGTATTTAAAATATGAAAAATTAAGAGTTTAAAATATAATTAAATTTAAATATATTTATTATTCAATTAATTAAAAAATTAATCAAATCGATTTAATTAAATTTTATTGATTAAATTTTGAAATTAATAAATTTGATTTGATTATCAAAAATAAAATGATTTAATTTAATTAATTTAATTTTAAATAATTTAATTTAAAATTAATCGAACAAATCGAAGACGCATAATTACAAACGACAATCCTGAGCAACCCCTCCAGCTTGCTCCCAAAGGTCTAACTTGAAAGTCGTGCTTTGCAAAATCTATAACGATTATTCAAGAAACTCTTTGAAAAAAATTTGTGGGGTGTATCCGAATTAAATCTGATTATATTATCGTATAATGTAAAATATTATTTTTATATTATATATTTTATAAAATTTATATTTTATAATTTTTAAAGAAATAAAATATAAAGTGTAATTTTTTTAATTTTATGAAAATTTTAAATTATATTATTTTATATTTTTAAATTATATTATTTTATATTATATTTTAAATTATCAAATTTAATTTAAAGTTGCGTAATATTTTCCAATTGCCCTAGCATTGGTAAAGATAACTGTTCCAGCTACTACATCATAGCCGTTGATTTGAACATCTAGGCTTGATGTAAAAACTATAAAAGCCCATAAGGAAAAAACTCGTCCACATAAAACACCGGCCCAACCATGGAAACAAGTAAAAGTAAACTTCAATGTTAGTCCCAACGCACAAACTAGGCACTATTTTCACATGCTTATTTGCGATTTTTTTTTTAATTTTTTGTTTCAAAAATTATATTAATGAATATAAGTAATATACAAATAAAATATAAATAAATAAAATATAGATACATAAATTACAAAATATATGAATATATATAAATAAAAAATAATATGAGTATAATAAATATATAAAAATATACAATCATTAAAACATAAGCTTCAATAATTAATTAAAATTATTCAAAATCAATGATTCACTTTGAATTAAGATTATGCTTTCATAAAGTTCATATATTTATAGATTTCATAAAAAATAGATTCATTAATAATAAAATTTGAATTATTCTTAATAAACAGTGTAGATCTAATTGCATAGATAAATATAAATAAAAATATATACTTTTAATTACTTCAATATTTTCAAAGAACTACTCAAAATTCTAAACACTTACATTCAAAATATTAAAAAATTGCAAGTGTAATGTAACAAATTCTTTTTTTTTTTTAAAAAACTATTGTAGATATGTGTTGCCAAGACATGGGTCATGGCTCATTTTAATACTTATTAGAAAAAAGAGAAAAATAGTATGGAGAGTTGGGAATAGGACACAAAAGTATTATCATCCTGCAATAATTTTTTAATACCAATTATATTTGTTTTTTTTTTTATATAATATACATATATATTGGCTAGTGCAGGAGTGTTACAACATCAATATATATATATATATATATATATATATATTAATGGTTATAAGTGGTTTTGCTTTGCATTTTGTGAAGAGTGAGTGAGATAATATATTATTATCACAATTATCCTCAAATTAACTACATTTACCAACAATTTATGTCATTATTTTTATATTTAAGCATGTATCTCATAATTGATATTAATTTTATTGTTATAGTATTTAGTTTCACTATTAAAATAATTAATCTTATCTTCATTGTTATTTTTAATTTTATTAGAATCAATTTCACTGCTAATCTAAATAAAGTCTAAATCGGACAAGTTCAATGGATTACGTAAATTTTAATTATTTAAAAATAAATTATTTATATTTATAAAATAAATATTATATTATATATTTTATTTGTTATATTATAAAAAGATATTTTAAAATAAATTAATAAATCAATTAATTCAATCAATTTTATTATCAATTTGAAACATAAAAAATATTCAAAGTAATCAAATTAATCACTTTTCTTAACTAATTAATACCAAAATTGAATAAATCCGAATCAAGTAAACCTAATTCGGTTGGTTTCAAGTAACTCATACTAATCCATTAATGTAATATAATGTAGTATAATATATTAAGATAATATTAAAAAATTAAAAATTTATTAAAAATTATATAAATTTAATAAAAATAAAAATATAGTTTTTTATATTTTTATATTGATACAAATTGTAATATATAATTTTTATATAAAATATAATATAAATATATATTTTGTAATATTTTTTATGATATAAATTTACAAATAATTAAATTATTTATTTTTAATTTAAAAAAATTTATTATTTCAGATAACAGTCGAGTTAATCATATTTCCTAGGTAAGCCACTGTCTTCTGAATCTTAATGGTGGAGCACCAATGGACATGTAAAAGCAATCAGAATAATTTTATTCTTTTATAGTTCATAGACTGGATTCTTTTACAAAAGAAAGTTGAAACAAGCCATTGAATTTTTTTTTTTGTCTTCTTTTAATCGTTATAAAGGTATGATTGCTGTATGTTTTTTTGTTTTTCTTTATGACAGGGAAGACGATAATTTAGATCAGACTGAATTTCGTTTAATTTTTTTAAATATTATATAATATTATAAAATTTTAAATTTTAATTTGAATTTCAACCTAATTCTCATTTTGTCTTAATTAAAATAAATTGAATTTTATCGATTCCGTTTGATTCGATTTATTAATTTATTAATTTTAAATTTTTTATATATAATTTTAATATAAAATATTAACATATTTAAATAAATTTTAATATAAAATTATTATCTTTATTTTATAAAAAATTAAAAAAATATATAAAAATTTAAAAATATATTTTTTGATTCGATTCAGTTCAATTTATTTTAGTTTTGCACATTTCAATATAAAATTCAATCCAAAACTAATACATACATTTAATATTCAAATTTAATCTAAATCAAATAAAAAAATTAATCTGAACATTATAATTTTAAATCAATTTTTAGATTTTTCTTTTGTTTTTTCACCTTACTTGGTGATGTGCCTGCATGCCTCTCTAGACAATTCTAAATAAAATTGTTTCCTCAAATTTCTTTGATAATATTTCTGTCTTGATATTTTCAAAAAAATATTAAAAATTAAAAATAATCAAAAAATAAAGATTGAAAGGAAAAACAAAAAAAAAAAGGCAGTTTGCGAGAGGCGTAATTCAATCCTTATGTAATTCGATATTAAATTGAGCATTTAATTTTATTTATTATAGCTAATTATGTGCTTTAGGGTATAATCAAGTATTACCATAATTTCAAGGGGAGAAACAGTCGCTGAAAATATGAAGTTTATAACAGATGCAGTGACAAATAAATATAGGCTATTTAAAAAAAAAATCAGTTTAATTGAGAATTACATGATGATGTTATATACACAATCAAATTACTTAGTGCTTTGAGATATAATTAGATGTGGCAATTTCAAATAGATACAGTAACAAAATATAAAAATAATATGAATAAAAAATATGAAAATAATATAATTTAAAATTTTAATAAAAAATACAAATAGATTTAACAAAATCAAAAAAATATATTTTATATTTTCGTCAATTTTTATATAAAATATGATAAAAATATATAAATTTTTAATATTTTACACAATACAATACACGAATTGTTTGGTTTAGATATAATCAAATATTTTTTTTCTAGTGCAAGAATAATTACAATGTGTAAGTTTAATCATAATAATTATTGATTTTTAAAATATCTTTAATCTTTTACAATTTTTTTATATTCATATAAAATTATGATTGCATGAATCAATTAAAATTAAGTCTAAATTTAAAATTATTATTTTGGTTAAAGAAATATTCATTACCAAATGCAGAAGGTAGGAGAAAATTAAGCCCAGCGTTAAGGGCCTGTTACAAACAGTACAAATTTGGGGCTTCTTTTCAATAATAAGAACTAAGCTAGGGGCTATTTTTAAAATATAATGATTCATATATTTGTATCATATAAAATATTAAAATTTATATATTTATATAATAATTTATACAAAAATTATATATCATAATTCATGTCTACACTAAAATATAAAATAAAATCTTTTTGTTTTTATTAAATTTATATATAATTATTACTATAATTTTAAATCGTATTACTTTTATATCTCATTTTTATATTATATCGTATCATCGAATTATATTTCATTTTTAGATTGTCAAATTTAATTTTTTCCCATACTAAAGTTGTTTAAAATCTTATTTATTAAAAGAGAGTAATTTAAAACTTTATTCTTAAAATAAGGTAATTTAACACAATTATATTCCACCTCATCATTTTACCTAAAGAAAGTACAAGTCATTCTTCTTCCTCCAAACTCTAATCCTATCCCTCCCCTCTTTCTCCTCTATGTAGTAGGATACCCTTCAAAAAAAAAAAAAAACAAATTATAATATAACACAAACAGGAACAAAATTGAGCAAGCAGTCGTGAAATACTAGAAAAATAACAAAATTCATTATTATCACAGAGACAAAATCTATGAGGGGCTGGAGATGTGTTTAGATAAAGATGTTGACCTTATTGGGAAAATCAGATCTATCCTGATTGACCTTAACATGGATGTAAAGGATCAAATTATTTGGGCATTGAGTTCTAATGGGATGTTCAACACATATTCCTTTAAAAAAAGAATGGATTACCAAGCTCATGGAAGAATGGCAACGTGCCATAAATAAAACTGATGTCGATAATCCAGAAAGGGAAATTCTGATAAGCTATTTGGGGATATGTTCAATTGATCTTGCAGAATTATGGGGTTTGTTTGTATCATGGTGCCATGCTTGCACAGATTATGGGTAAACTGACGGTGCCTCTTCATTTTCCTTAATCACTAAAAGCATCTCCAACAGTCACCCACATCTTGTGATCTTAATATCATCAAAACCATTAGAGAAATCATGCAAAATAATAAAGAACGAATGTTGAATTACATTCCAAGACAAGAATTTTACAATGGATTAGTTGGGAAAGAACTGCAGTGAACATGATAGAGGAGTACAAATTTACTTGAGTCCACCTAAAGATGTTATATTTGTAGGGGTTGTGTTAGAGATATTTTTGCGTTCAAAAGGTAAAATGATTTGTTTGCTCGTCAAACATTGTCAATTGACAATCAACTTTACGTATACACTATCATGTCAGCTCAATCGTCAATCTCAAGCCGGCTATTTGGCCCTTTGGACCAATCGATTGAAACATGAAGGAAAATACTCTTCGCTTTTGTCCCTTCATTTTTTCTCTTTTGTGATTTCATAATTTTACCCCTTAGCCTAGAGCTTAGCTTAAACATTTGACACTCCAAATATAGGGTGTACATTTTATAATTGACTTGCAATTTAAGTATCAAAATATAAATATAGATAATATTTTTTTGTCTTTACTTCTAATCATTCTCTTTCTCTTCTGTGATTTTAAAATTTTATCCTTCGATTTAGAATTTTACTCAAACAAATTGCATTTCTCGAAAACATAATTATGCATTTTTTTATGACGTGTCATTTATTGGTCACATGGATTACACGTGGATATATGTATCTTATTTTGAAAATTAAGTTTAAAACTAACTTATTTTGAGAAATAAGATTACAGAGTACCATCCATTGGGAAAAAAACTTGAGGATTGCCTTTCCCCTAGCAACAACATGGATTTGCAATAGCAATTAGAGGAGATTTTTTGTGTATGGTAAGGCCAAAGCTTTCATTCATGTCCAAATCGTTCTGTTTTGCTCCACCAGGCAATGACCAATCAAACTTGTGAACAAGATTTGCCAATAAGAGCTCATTTATTTTCATTGCAAATAGGATGCCTGGACAAATCCTCCTTCCAGAACCAAATGGAATCAATTCGAAATGATGTCCTTTGAAATCTAGGGAATTGTTCAAGAACCTCTCTGGAAGAAATTCTTCTGGTTTCTCCCACGACATAGGGTCTCTTCCGATTGCCCAAGCATTGATAATAACTTGAGTTCCTCGTTCAATGTCATAGCCATTGATCCTGACATCTTCTGTTGATATTCTTGGAACTAACAATGGAATCGGAGGATGTAAACGAAGAGTCTCTTTGATCACAGCTTTTAAGTAGTGCATGTTATCCAGATCATCCTCCGAAATTTCCGATTTTTCACAGGCAACTTTCCTGACCTCTTTTTGTAGTTCTTTCATTATCTCTGGGTGCCTCAACAGTTCTGTCATTGCCCACTCCAGGACTGTATATGTAGTGTGAGTTCCAGCTGCAAACGCATCCTATCATGGAAAGAAGATTTGTCAAGTTCGAATGTGAAGCTAAAATTAAGGAACTATAATAATAATAAAGTAAAAAAAAAAAAAAACTACTTGGTGCCGGTAGATAAACTAGTCTTATCACATCCAATGCTAGAGTAAAGAGCAGAATTCAGTTCAGTTTGTTCACGCAGTAACGTGCTATCCAGCAAGTGGGGGTTCAAAGCACCTGCAACCCCTTTTCTTGTTGGAAATGTTAAACACAGTTGGAAAGGGGTTTGGAAAGGGAATTAAGTGGTTCTTACCAAGATAAGAGCCTTAATGCTCACTTCCTCTATGGGAAAGCCAACCGTGTTTTCCCTCTGAATCCCCAGCAAAACATCAACGAAATCTTTTTCATCCTCATCTTGAATCCCAATATCATCATTTCCTTTCCTGGTTATGTCGATTCATATGCTCTTCGAGCACTCCACTTAAAAAAGCATCGAACTCCTTGGCCACTTTCTCTACTTTACCATTCAATCCATTAACATGGTTTATCCAAGCAAGCCAAGGAATATAGTCCCCAACATTTATGCCACCCAACAACTCCACGAACTCGCTCAAAAGCTTCTTAAACTTGTTCCCATCTTCCCCTTCACTGTACTTTCTTCCTAAAGCGACTCTGCAGACAACACTGTTTGTGACCGTAGAAAAGAGTTCACTTAGATTCACTGGCAAAGCAGATGTGCTACACTTTTTAATCTTCTCAACAGCAAGAACCGTTTCTTCTTCTCTTACAGCGCGAAAGGACTGAACCTTTTTGTTACTTAGAAGATGTAGCACGCATATGCTTTTCATTTGCCTCCAGTAATCACCATAAGGTGCCGTTGAAACGTCTTTGTAATCATAGAGAAGCTTTTGAAAGGTACTTGATTTGGGTCTGTTTGCGAATGTCAGATCATTGGTTTTCATGATCTCACGGGCAGCATCAGCGGAGGAGACAACAAGCACAGGCGCACTGCCAAAGCGGAGCAACATGAGAGGGCCAAATTGTTGAGCTAAGGCCCGGAGTGAGCGATGAGGGTACGACCCGATTTTGTGAATGTTTCCAATGATTGGGAGTTTCGGCGGAGAAGGTGGTAACATTAGCTTTCTTTTCTTATTCGAACGACTTAAAAATCGCTCAAGTAAGACTACGAAGAGGATGGCTATCACGGAGAAGAAAAAGACATCTGACATGAAAAATCTTTCATGGTGCTCTAAAAATTGTAAAAAACTCGACATAACGATCTTTCTTCTGGGTTTCTGTTAAACTTATTCCAGGAACTTAGCAGTTCTGCAACACTACATATAGTGCCTGAAAATATCTGTATGAAAGGAGAAAAAAAGTCACCAGCCGACATTTTTGTAAGAGGTGCCGTAGTGCAAAGGGTTGAAAAACATAACAAATGGACGACTTTTTACTTTCGTGAAGCTTTGATTACATGTGAAGCCTGATTCTATGCTGAGGCGACAGATCACTTACGTAAAAAGAGGCTACTGGTCCCATTTTTTTTTTTGAAAAACAGATATTACCACAAACATCGATCCATTGTAAAAAATATTACGTGGTGAACAAGAATTCTCTTACAACAAAGGTTTTGCAATTGGGATTATGTGACAACCAGAAGAAAAATAGCCAGGCATTCCTTTGCCCAAGTTGGAGATCTTGACTTGCATGCTAGCTCTCAGATCCGCAATGTTTTCAATCAAATTCATGTCAACATTACTGTCCCTTTAAATTATTTGTTGTATTCCAGGGCTGACAACCGATGAATAAATGGCCAGTGGCTTTTTCAGGCTGATACTTGGACAAGACAACATAAGGCTGCAAGTCTTGCGGTAGCAGAAAGCAGGAATTGCAACAGCTGTGACTAGTACATTGAGTCATGTCCAAATCCTCACCTGTCGCTCCACCAAGCAATCTAATCTAAATTTACAGTTTTTCGCTTCATGACCTAATAGCCACAAAAATTTTTAAGAAGACATTAAAATTTAATTTCGAATCAAGCTTTTCTTTTCCTCTCTTATAATAATAAGGTTTTACACCGCCCTTGAAACCAAAAAAAATTTAAACTTACGTATCATGATACTGGTTCTTTTTAGAACAATAAAGAAATTACTTAATTTGTTGTAACTATTTATGACATGTCATTGTCTAATTGTCATATAATTTTATCTATAAATAGACTTTCCGCCACCATCTTTTCTCTTTGGGTACAGAGAATTATTTAATTTATTAAAAGTATTTTAGAGATTTTTGTCTTTTCGGATAAAGGTTAAAATTTTAAAAAATTAAAAAATTTTAAAAAAAGACAAATGAAAGGCTCTAGAGAAAGGAGACGTGACTTTTTTGTGGCCAAAGGCAAAAGAATGTTTTAAAGAAAGAGATGTGATTTTTTTTGGCCAAGCGAATTTTTATTGCGTCAATAAAAACAAAAATTTTAGATTGAGAAAAGAAGGAAAGAAAGGGAAAGACATAAACGAGAATCAAAAGAGTAATAAAAGAGAAAATGGAAAAAAAAAAAAAGTTCTGAAAAAATTGAAGAAAAGTTAGAATCCAAGAAAAGAACCAAATTTGAAGAAATATGTTAGAAAAAAAAGGGTAAGGAAAAAAATTTAATTTTTTTTAATAAATTTGATTTTGCAAAAAACTTTTTTTTTTAATTTTGATTGTAAATGTTGTGGTGTATAGGTATATGGACTGTTTAAGGCCTGTTTTATTCTTCATATGCTCTATGTTGTATTATTTATTTTATTTTAATTTTAAGATAAAAAGCTTGAAAAATCTTTTTTCTTTAAAAAAAATGAGAAACAATAATTTTGTGATTGCTTTTTATAAAGTTGATAAGTTGATTTAAGCAGAAATTTGTATGATTCATGTAGGTTGTGTGCTTGATGAAAGAAATAGAGTGAAAAGAAAGAATAGAGGGATTATGGAGAAGATTGGAGATGCAATCTAACCCCTCACCAAGCCTAGATCGATGTTACGCATCATCTTTGTTAGGGATCGAAGATAATGAAACGAAAAATAAGAAGAAAAAAATAAAAAATTTGGGTAGTTCGATTTATAACGTTATTTGCCTCAAAATTTTCTAGATTGGTTTGATTTTTTATTTTGAGTTTTCTTTCATAATTTTGATTTTTTTACAGAATTTTTTAAATATTCTTAAAATATATTTTTTTAGATAAATAAAAACATTTTAACATCTTCTAAAGGTTTCTATATTATTCTTGAATTCTTTTTATTCTTATCTATTCAGCATCATGTGACATTACTTGACTGGATATTAAGGATTTTATTTAATAAAATTGAGCTAAAAAATAAAATGAGAGAGAGAGATGAGTTTTGTCAATAGACAGATAAGATAATTCTTTTTCATTTTATTTGTCTTTTTTTTTTATTACATTTACTTTTAGAATATTCTTTTCTACTATGCTAAAATTCTTTTTTTTTTAAATATTTTTGTTTAAATGACTTTTAATACCTTTAATTTTTTTATGTTGTTTTTTCTATAATTACATAGGTGATTTTTAATATAATACTTCAGGCATGTTTAACCTCTTTGCTTTTTCTATTTATAATTTTTTATTTTTATTATATTTTATTTGTTTAAAATTTTAGGCTTTCTGTTTTATTTTTATTTTGATTATGTTCTTCTTTTTATGGATATCTCATATTTTTTTATGTAAGTTTAGAAATTATTTTTTTCTCATCATTATTTGTTTAAAATTATTCCATTGTTCTTTTGCATTTGCATTAAAAAATTTGTAATGTAACAGTAAAAGTGACTCAACATGTAAGTTGTTCTACTTAAGGATGAAAAGTAAAATAGGTCAAATTGTTATATCAATGCTTTTCAATACTTTTTTATTGATGTTTTCTATTATTGTTTAAATTTGTTGATTAGTTAATTATTTTCGAGAGTTTTATTTTTAATTAATTTTAATTTTGATTTTGTGCGCAACTTTTTTTCTCTTTGCTTCTTTTTCTTTTGGTTTCCATATGTTACAAGTATAGTATGATGGTTCTCTTCATTTAATTTGAATTGTCATTTATATATATGTACTTCTTACTTCATCATTCTTCATGTGCCTAATGCCCAAAATGTGGCAGACTCAATCCCTTGCAATAATTATCATACTAAATGATTGCTTAAAATAAAAATTCATCAAGTTGTAAGCATAATATACTTCTTAGCTCATCATTATCATTATGTCATATGGGTCGTTAGCTGGCTTCTAACATTAATTTTGAAATTGTAATAAACAGATATGGCAGCTGCTGAGGAAGGAACACCATTTACAGGGACCCTATAAATATTTGGTGCATGAATCACATTTCATCAACTCTATTTAATTATCATTTTTTGCTTTTTCCTCTCATCAATGATTGATGTATTGTTTGCAGCAATTCAAGTTTATTTACATTTAGTATGAATTATTAATCAATCATTTAATTTCTTCATTTTTGGATCATGGGTAAATTACCAGTCATAAAAATAACTCCCCACCTTATTATTAGTGATGGCAACGGATTAAATTGAGATAAATTTTTGTTCGCTCCGAACTTGATCAAACTTTATATTTTTAATACTTGAATCCAACCTAATTTTTTTTTATTTTTTTCACACTCAAACTCAATCTGATATTGTATTATTTTTTAAATATAAATATTAGTTTTTAATATAAATATATAATTAAATATATATAAATATAAAACTAAATAAATAATTAAAAAATAATTTTTTTAACATATCGGGTCAAGTAGGGTTGGGTTAGCCTAAAACTTGATCCAAACTTTTTCATATTATTATCTGACTTGACCCGAAATTCGATTTAAAAAAAAAATCAACCTTAAAAGGTCGGGTTAAATTAGAACCCAACAAGGACAATTTGGGCTATTAACCCTACTTACTACACCTACAAAAAGTGATTAAAGAAAATTTAAAGTGATGGTTCCAAAAATTAATTTTTATCTTTAGATAGATATGTATGCATTGGTTAAATCATGCTATTGCAACATATAAATGCTAATGAAATATATATTGATTGAAAATGATGTGTTTTCTTATTTTGACTTAGATATGAAAAAGATAGTTGCAAACATTTTAGAATTTGTAAATTTATCCATCTATATTGTAATATATAATAATGAAATTCTAAAAGTTCAATTAATTCAATTCTTAATTAATCAAACAAATTGTTGCGTTATCATTTCTTATTTTTTATTAGAACAAAAGGTTTGAATGATATAGCTCTTCATATTCATGTATAACCTCTTAAATCTTTATTATAAATGTAGACAAAAGATTATTGCGTTGTTATTGGAAAAATTAAGAAAAATCCAAATCATAGAAGAATTATGCTCCTTGCCCAAAATCCTTTTGATGACATTGGTGGCACTTTTGTCTTTTCACATGTTTACTTAGGTTAATTAAGTAATTCTATGTAGGCAATGGATAGTTATCATATCAAATGCATCATATGATTAGTATGCCATTAACATTGCATTTTATATTCTCCTAACTTACATGATTGCTTATGTTTGGGCTATGTTGTGATTGAGATCAATACTATATTTATAATTATTTTTTTTTTATCACTAAAGGGTTAAAATATTTTCATTGGTACCACATCTATTAGTTAATTATAGTAGACTATTTTTAGATGTTGCTTCATCCTCTTATTCAGTGTAATTTAAATATTAAAAGTCATTCCCTTTATTAATATATTTATTTTCTTCCTATATTTGTCTTTCGAGATTTGTCATTTTTTTGCTTGCTCCAACTATTATTTTTCTTTTAATTTAATTTTACATCGTTCTTTTAATTGTGTAGCTTTAACACTAAACTCTCTCTCTTGTAATTGTTTTTCTCCATATGCTTACCATTTTTTTTTTTTTAAGATCAAAAGAGGTCAATGCCTTTAATTGTTTTTCTCTATATGCTTACCATTTATTTTTTTTTGGATCAAAAGAGGTCAATGCCTTATTACATAAAAAAAGAGAGGAAAGGCTTAGTATGAACCCAAGCTCTTATGCCTTCCTTAAAGCTTCTTTTGCCACTGGGTCAAGGAGCGAAAGATCTATATGCATACCTTTTTTAATTCTTTTTGCATTATCACTATATTCTTCTCCAATGTTTAGTTTTTGATGAATTTCATTGTAGCTTGTGGAAATGTTGGTGTTCATTTGTTCTCATTAAGACATCTCTACTTTCGAATTGGTGGATTCATCACATACTTAGATCTTTTCTAATTATATTTATAGAGATTTATACTCAATTTACGAGAT